AAAAATTAGTCAAATATCTTCATTTAAATTTTTAATGCAATAAATGAATCTTACAATGGAGATGGACATATGGCCATTTTCGTTAATATTGTTTTGCTGATCATTTTTGCTGTTTACAGTTTCTACCTACCTATTATAGTTTTTAAGATATATGCAATAGGCCAAAATCTGACAAAAATTGACATCAGTCGTCATTTAACTCCGCTGACGGATCGTCCAGTGGTTAATGTCATGTGTAATATATTGCTGTACTGATTTGCAGGTGAAACTTATTTAAGTTAGTGGTTAAAGGTGAATTTTATATCTTATCATGGGATTTTTTTATATTAAGCATTATTAACTTTTGTTAAGTTGGTGCAAAATGAAGAAAAGTGATGGTTGAATTTGTTTCATTTTTTGTTAAATTCGTTTTGAGTCTTTTTGTATGACCAGGAGATTGTGGGTAATACGTCAATTACACACAGCGACAAATATATTCAAAAGACATAAATTGTTACAATAGAGGACAACACAAATAACTTTGTACGTGTCTAAACAATATGTTTAGCTCTTAATCTGAATTCTAGAGGTCAGTGTGAATAGATTTAGCAGAAACCACCAAAGATCTGTCATTAGCATCCAATAAATTCTACGAATAACATAAATAAAGTGCAGCGATGTACAAATTCTATATTTCTATATTTGTATTAACCTTTATGATACCGTCTGACTTTTTTTTATTTTTGTTGCATACCATGTACATACTTCGAATTCTTTTAGTGTTTATTAGTAAATGCATGTTCCTTTTTGGGGCATTTTTATGTTTGCTTTTATGTGCTTTGCTTTGTTTATTATTTCCTATAATTTTCTGTGCTTTGCTAGTAATATTCATGCATGATGATCGTTCTGTTTTATATGTTTTATGTCTTCCGTTTGTGATATTTATGTCGGTTAAAAGCTCTACAGAGCATTGTTATTTGTATACCCGACTATAATTAAATAATTGATATGCTTTAATGTATGCTATACAACTACTGACGATGTTCCTGACTTGGAATATGTTCCTGACTTGGAATATGTACCAGTAGCGGATACAGGGGGGAGGGCGGATACAAGGGGGCACAGAGGGCGTACATCCCCCTTTGATCGCCAAATAAAAATAATATATCAGGTTTTTCACGATTTATGAGATTTTTTAGCATAGCATCCGTTCATATTTATATAATCAGCTTTATGAAATTATGCCCCCTATCACAAACCTAGATCCGCCCCTGCGCACATAAAAATGTGTCGAGGTTAAGCTAGTTTTCAGATTTCAGCCCTCCCCCTTTTCAAACACGATCAGTTGGATAAGAAAATGTAAGGATTCTAAAAACCAGTACAGGAATTTTTAAAGCTCTCAACTTGACACTAAAATACTGGTATTATAGATACCAATATTACACAGTTTCCATATACAGTTTACAAGTATTTATGGTATATAACTTATTTATTTTATCATGTTTTACCCTTTGTCATACATTTTTCGTATTTGAGCTCTCTGACATTGTCCCAATCGTCCCTGGGTAATCTACCATTGCACCATTGATGCTTTTTGGCGAGATGGACTCAGTGACAGCAGCAAACAAGTACTATCTTTCAAAAAGATATCTGACGCATTCAAATGTGAGGGTAGAGTTTAATCTTTATCAGTTTTTCTTTATCATAGTTTAAATTTGACGACAAAAGTCTGACGATTCTAAAAGTTGAGGATATGCGCTTTTCAGACTAAGAGCAGAATTAAAAATATATACTGCATGGTACTTATTTAAATGTATATATATATATATATATATATAGGTATTTTTCAGAGATAAAGAAGTACCTTTATATAGCTGTAAAATAGACATAAAATAAGATATTGTTGAAGAATCCGGCCTTAAAATTATCAACTTGATTTTTGATATACAAAAATAGGCAGATCGGTCATATTTTTTCTTCATTAACTCACTGCTTGGTATATAACTTATTTATTTTATCATGTTTTACCATTTGTCATACATTTTTCGTATTTGAGCTCTCTGACATTGTCCCAATCGTCCCTGGGTAATCTACCATTGCACCATTGATGCTTTATGGCGAGATGGACTCAGTGACAGCAGCAAACAAGTTCTATCTTTCAAAAAGATATCTGATGAAGAATCCGGCCTTAAAATTATCAACTTGATTTTTGATATACAAAAATAGGCAGATAAGTCATATTTTTTCTTCATTAACTCACTGCTTGGTATATAACTTATTTATTTTATCATGTTTTACCATTTGTCACTGCTTTCGTTTGGATTAAATTGGACTGATAACAGCTTAATGGGACTGAAAAATGCTATTTTTTGTCAAAACACGCAAGCTTTTTACCTTGCGTATACGTGCGTAAAATATGTCTCAATGTTTTTCTTCAAAATAATATATTTTTCAAAGAATAAAAACGCATGATCTGTAAAGTTTCTCAAATTTCTAAACAAATCGCCATTTCATTATAATTTGTACAATTTCACTGTATTACGAAATTTTTCGTAAAAAAATAAGAATTGCAAAATCAAACCTTTCATACCTTTTGTTTTTCATTCATAAAAATAGCATGAACTCGTCCAGTGTACAGTTTGATGATCAATTGAAGCACACCTGTGTTTTAAAAGAAATTATACCGTTTCCAGATACACAGAATATATATAATTATATTATAGTTTAAATGCATTCAGATAAGAAACGTCCAGAAAAGTTAAATTGTGAATTATTAAGGAGGAGGGTCTGGATTGGGACTTTCATTTCTATTTTCTTTCAGAAAACTAAAGAAAAACCATAACTTTGTTAATCCACAAACAAGAGTATTTTAAATTTATAATTACTGAAAAGATTTTTGAACTTCGGATTTACAGTTGCCATTCTTGTCTTCATAAACAATATTTATTGTTACGTAATAAAATTTCATGTGCTTACAGAACACACACGGGACAAATTTTAACAGGTAAACATTAAAAGGTGAAGCAATAATAACTTCATCCAATCGAACTGCGTGTACGTAAGATTTAATAACAATGACCAGTTCATTTCAAATTAAGTTTGAGGGGGTAAATAGCGTATGGAGAAAATGAGAGATTTTTTAATACAATTTCTTGCTAATACTACAAAACACTCTTCGCCCAAACTTTTCGTTAGAAGTTCAAAAACATCTATGTCTGTATTGTCGTTTTTCAATCTCTCATTAGCGTATTTAAAGCCATAGAAAGTTTGGGCTTCAAAAGCCAACAAAATTATTGACTTTATACAGAAAATTAACCTTCTTAAATCGTTCATCTATTAACATATAATACACGGATACATAGCAAAATCATTTTTGAAAATACTGCAAAAAGTATAATTCTGATTTATTCAGCGGTATTGTCATGAAGTGCGTTCAAGTGAACTATGGTAAAGCAAACATCGAATCCCCTCACAAAATCTTATCATACACTATAGTTTACTATCTGTAATGAATAAAAAGCTTGAAACAGTTTAGATCCATGACAAAATGTTAATTATAACTATATATATATATTATATGTCAAGAACAACTTTAAAAATTAGAGATACAACCTTAGCTATTTCGGTGTGTATATCGGGGACGGACGGGCGCCAAAGGAAGATGATCTATATAATACAGCGTTTGACAAGTACATGTAATTAATTTGCGATATATGTATTATGACAATCTGTATTTCAAGTATAATATTTTGTACTCTTTGAGATTATTATTAAGCATTGGAAGCTTTAGTCGATAAGATATTTGTATAGCACTCTCGATTGCTATTTCATAGCCTAATATTGACCTGCTAGATCTAATAAACCGGTCAATGATATATACCTACTCATTTTTTAAAGGCTAAGCCTACAAAATCCAAAAAAAATGAAAGTAGTGATAATGACACCTTTTTTACCTGGATTTATTTTTATTTGTCTGGTTTATTTCATTTTTAAGTTTGATTTTATGTCCGTAATGTTCTCCTTTTATTGTAACATATATCTTTTTTTGATGGTTTTTGTTCAATTTCGTTATTTCGTCCAATCAGAATAAAGATTTGTGACATCATGCATACCGGTTTACCATGGTGAAGCGTCCTTTTAAAATGGGTCACAAACCGAAATTATACTGACTGCGTCGGAAAAACTAAAAATGAAAATAAGTCACTGAGGCCAGGGCTGGACTAAGAACAAACCATGCCTTTACTATATATAGCTTTAAATCAACCAACACATTCTCCAGCCATTGTTTGTATAAATAAGAAGATGTGGTAGAGTGCCAATGAGACAACTCTCCATGCATCAAAGTCACAATTGTATAAAAAGTAAACAATTATTGGTCAAAGTACGGCCATCAACACGGAGCCTTTGCTCACACCGAACAGCAAGCTTTAAAGGGTCCCAAAATGACAAACAGGAAAACCAACCGTCTAATCTATATAAAAAAAAATGAGAAACGAGAAACACTTATGAACCACATCAACAAACAACAACCACTGAACAACAGGCTCCTGACTTAGGACAGGTGCATACAAATGCAGCAGGTTTAATCGTTTTAGCAGCTAGGCACCAACCCTCACCCTAACCTGAAACACTGAGTAGTGTAAAATTACAACATAAAAAGACACACTATAAAATATCAATTGAAATGGCTTAACTCGATCAAAAAGACATATAAACAAAAACAAATAAACATACACTGAACGAATATACATGGAACATATGTCCCGAGCAATCTCAGTCTTCAAATAAAGAAAAAATTGCACCAGCCACAGTCGTCTGTGAGGGGGTGAAACGGGGTGCTCATTTCAAACTCTTGAAACCCATATCCAATAGCGTGTCTGTAGGACGGTATGATTTGTTGTCGAAGAGGGTTTTTTTCAGGGTAGGCCGAGTTTTCAGGACCGAGTTGTCCATCGGCTTCTACTCATTCTGTAATTGGCGAATGAAAATCCTTCTTTCAAATTAATTTTGGTTCACAAAATAGTACGATGACAAAAGTGACAAAGTGAAAGAAGTTTGAAAATTAAAATAGACAACGAGCTTAGAAGATCAACTCTTACTGCTAAGGTAAATTTAAGGTTCGTCATAATCGGTAGGAAATGACAATCAAATGAGAATAATGATTGCCATTAGTGACATATATATACCAACACAGAGTCTGTCATTTAATAATTGTAAGAAATTTAAATAATTAATAAGCATTCCTATCATGCCTATCTTTTAACTCGCTAATACATTTATGATAGGATCCATATCATGTATATAACCCTTTTAAATTTATTGATGGTGACAACACAAGCTTTTATAACTTTATTATGATTCTTATATACATTGATCATGAAGTACATATAACATTCCACTGAGAAAATCTGCCTTTTTACATTTTACTAAATTCTTACATCTTAACTTATTATTTTAATACATAGATCTTATTAAATAAAACCTCCTTTTAATGTATCTTTTATGCATATTAAAAAGCAAATTTAAAAAAAACACATATTTTTAATTATAAATAAAACTGAGTTACATACATAATCATGATAAATGAATCTACTTGTATGGTAGATTAATTTTTAATAAAAAGGTCCATGTAAATGACACTTTTAATGTTTATTTATATGTGCTGTACATATGTTGGAAAAAGAACATTTTTGTTTTATCCTTTTAAATTTTAAAGTTAAGGCAAAACTCCATATATATTTGGAGGTGCTCCTAATTAAAGTAGGCTGATACTAAGAAGAAGACATAACAAATGGACGAAAATGGATGTGTTTCGCCTAAAAAATTACTGAGTACAGATTAATCCCTTTTAGCATGTTTAGATTTTTGGTAATTTTTAATTGGACCATAACAACAGGTAAATGTTTAATTTCAAATTTTTATCAAGTTCTTAGACCACCTTCACTTCTTAGTCAGAAACCTATGCTACATTGTATGTCAAATATTAATCACAATCAAAATTCAGAGCTGTATAACTATTGCACAATAGAAGTTGAAAGAGTCATAGTTAAAAATACATCTGATTCTAATTTTAGAAATTATGTATAAATAATATAGCTTGAAATTTACTGTTTGAATGATTATTAGATATTTTGAACAATAATTATAGGTAAGTTTTATTTATTTTTTTAAAGACATTGTATTAATGATGAATGATATTTTGGAAATTGTTTTTTTTTTCATTTTTTTGTAAATATCTTCAAGAACTTGTGGTACGTTTGTTATTTATTTATGAATAGATTAATTTTCGGTATGCTATATCTATATATTATTTTTATACGACCGCAAAAAACATATATTGATATGACGTTGGTGTCGTCGTTGGCTTTGTTGTCTGAATACACATTGGTTTTCGCACAATAACTTTAGTTTAAGTGACATTGGATCTCTATGAAATTTTACCATAAGGTTCAATACCACAAACATGACAAAAGGAAGGTTGGGATTGATTTTGGTGGTTATGGTCCTAACAGTTTAGGAATTAAGGGCCAAAAAGAGGCCCTAAAGGCATTTTTCTAGTTTCCAGACAATAACTTGTGGGTTCAATATGCAACAGCATAGTGTATTGCACAAAAGCAAAAACTGAATATAAATTCAAATCATCAATGATCATATAACCAATTCTAAGTTCTTTGACTACAGTTATTCTGTGTCAGAAACTTATTATGTGTCAAATATTTGATTACAAGCCAAATGCAGACCTGTATCAAGTGCGAATATTGTGTCCATTTTTGCCCCAACTGTTCAGGGTTGGACCTATGCGGTCGTATCCAGTTGCGCCCGGCGAAGAAATATATTTTATGAAGCAAACCCCTTTAAAAACTCAGCTAATAAATAAATCCAATTCTTTGTGTACTGACAATGAAAACACTGGTACTTGGATAAGTCCAACATGCATATGTTAAAGCAAAAATATAAAATCATGAAAATAGCCTTTAACATGTTTAAAGATGTCATAATTATTTTGACTAATAAGGCGTAAAACCAAAAAAAATAAAATAGCCTTTCAAGATGTCATAATTATTTGGACTAAGTACTTGGATATGCTGATTCTAACCATGTACATGTATTTAGATTTTGGATATTGGACCATTATAGATAAAAGTCTTAATTTCAAATTTTTCAGTTCTTTGACCACATTCATACTGTGTCCAAAACCTATGCTGTGTCAAATATTTAATCACAATCCAAATTCAGAGCTGTATCGTTTGAATATAGTGTCCATACTAATACCCCAACTGTTCAAGGTTCAAATTCTGTGGTCATATCCAGCTGTGCCCCGTGGAGCAGTTTAATTTCACATGATTTGATCAAAAGTGTTACATGTACTAATTTGTTAACTTTATAGTTACTTTATCTGTTGAAGTTCCAGTTCAGTCTTCTTAAGTGCAGTGAATGGAGCCTTTTTTTCACATTTTGATACTTTCTTCATAAAAATAAGAAGATGTGGTATGAGTGCCAATGAGACAACTATACAGCATGTTCAGTACCATGTTTTCTTCTTGGATAATTATGTGCAAAAGTCGCAGAATTTCCAGACATAGAGATTAATGGCAGTGAATCCAACAATGGTGTAAACCATTTGTATAAAGCTTTTAAGATATATTTCAGAAGGTAGAAGACCTAGATGCTTCATACCTTTTATGCAGATACATTTTTGTCCCCAGAGTAACAGTTGCAGGTGACATGGAATAACCGGGTGTCAGTCTGTCCGTCCATCCATCCATCCGTCCGTCTGTATTTCAGTCCGTTCGCAATTCTTGCCAGAATTTTATTAAACTTATATCAAAGGTACATGTATGTATCAGCATGTCTCGGACAAGTTCAAATTCAGTGCTGGTCAATTGTTTTTAAAAGAGTAATGCCCCTTGAAAACATTAATTAGGGCCCCACCATGGGCCGAATGGGGGACGCCCTATAGTGATCAGTCCGTCGGTCCGTCTGTCCATAACAAATTGTGTCGGCTCTATATCTAGAGAACCGTTATGATTTCAAAGTTTATACTTGACATGTATATTAACCAACACCAGAGGGTGTGTCATAATGTATGTACAATTTCCTAGGTCAAAGGTCAAGGTCAAAAACTTTGGTTTTAGTTGACAACCCCATGTCCTATGGTAAAGATCGTGTCCACTCTATATCTTGAGAACTGTTATGATTTCAAAATTTATACTTGACATGTATATACATGTAACCAACACCGGAGGGTGTGTCATAATTTATGTACAACTTCCTAGGTAGAAGGTCAAAAACTTTGGTTTCAGTTGACAACCCCATGTCCAATGATAAAGATACAAATTTTTTACCACACATTATTCACAGCGGGGCCCACAAAGATGGCTCCCATTTCAATGATATCTAGTTATATTGAAAATTGCGTTGTTAGCGCTCTCCTGTGTCATGTGTGTTCAATTCTTGCCAGATTTTTATAAAATTTATATCATAGGTTTATATCAGCAATGTCTTGGACAAGTTCAAAAATCAGTGCTGATCAATAATTTTTAAAAGAGTTATGCCCCTTGGAAAAATAAATTATATATGGAATTGCATTGTAAGGGCTCTCATACATGTACATGTCATATGTACAATTCTTGTCAAAATTTTATGAAACTTAAATCATAGGTTTATATTAGCAATGTCTTAGGACGAATTTGAAAATCAGTGCTGATCAATAATTTTCATACGCCATTTAGGAGACGTATTATGGTATACCGTTGTCCATCGTCAACATGTCGGACATTAACTCAAAAATGCTTTAACCAATTTGCATAAAACTTTGGTGAATTGTTTATATCTATTGACATGAGCTCCCTTACATTTTTTATAAAATTTAGATTTTACATTTCCGAGTTAAGATGGTTTATTCATTAAAAAAAGAGGGAATTTTCCAGTTTTCGGACAATAAGTTAAGAATGCTTTCACCCACTTGCAAGAAATTGTGGTGAATTGTTTATATCTATTGACATGAGCTCACTTTCGATTTTTATAAATTTTAGGTTTTACGTTTCCGAGTTATGGGGTTATATTCATTAAAAAAGGGTTTTTTTCCAGTTTTCTGACAATAACTCAAAAATGCTTTCAGCAGTTTCCATGAAACTTTGGTGAATTGTTTATATCTATTGACTTAAGCTCTCTTTCGATTTTTTATGAATTTTAGATTTTACGTTTCGAGGTTATGTGATGGTATTCATAAAAAAGGGGGTATTTTTCAGTTTTTATATGACCGCAAAAAAATTTTGTGGTCGTATATTGGTATGACGTTGGCGTCGTCGTCCGAAGACACATTGGTTTTTCGCACTCTAACTTTAGTTTAAGTGAATGGATCTTTTTGAAATTTGACCATAAGGTTAAATACCACAAAAGGAAGGTTGGGATTGATTTTGGGGGTTATGGTACCAACAGTTAAGGAATTAGGGGCCAAAAAGGGGCCAAAAATAAGCATTTTCTAGTTTCCAGACAATAACTGTGGAATGGTGTATGGATCTCTCTGAAATTATACTACAAGTTTCCATACCACAAATTAAAGGGATGGTTAGGATTTGCTTTGGGGGGTTATGGCTCAAACCGTTTAGGAATTAGGGGCAAAAAAGGGGGAAAAACAAGGTTGTCCTGGTTAATGGACAAATGCTTTAGTACAAAACATAATTTAAAGCAGTGTAAGGGAGATAAATCAAATACATCATTGAAATTATCTCCCTTACACTGCTTTTAAATTATGTATAAAGTAATGGTTAATGAACAATAAAGATAATTTAAAACAGTGTAAGGGAGGTAATCCAAATACAACGTTTTTGTTACTTCCCTTACACTGCTTTTAAATTATGTTTAAAGAAATGCATATTTATATAGGAAGACCATTAAAAATATCTGCAAATGTTGCATCTTTTTTTTTTACAAAAAAATCCATATGAAAGATTTGACACTATATTTTTAATTTTATTATAAAATAGATTAAGTTAGCACTATGGTAAATTTAAATGGGTAATTATGGTTGCCAACTCCATTGGAAATTTGAATTGAGATTATGACCATATCTTGAGGGAAAGAATTTTTGGGGGGAAAAAAGGGGGGGGGGATAAAAAGAAATTGTGGGGGGTCAATTTTTTCTCATTTCAGATTTCAGAAATTAAAAAGAATTATTCTTCAAATATTATTTTTTTTTCAAATTTCAAATATTGAAAAATTTCAAGAAGTAATCTTTAATTGCACAGTATGGCGCATTAGATTTGTAAAATCTTTGATCACATTTATTTATTTGTTATGCCGAATCTAACAGTGTATTTAGATTTTTAATTTTGGGTCCAGTTTTCAAATTGGTCTACATTAAGGTCCAAAGGGTCCAAAATTAAACTTTGTTTGATTTTAGCAAAAATTGAATATATGAGGTTCTTTGATATGCTGAATCTAAACATGTATTTAGATTTTTATACGACCGCAAAAAATTTTTGTGGTCGTATATTGGTATGACGTTGGCGTCGTCCGAAGACACATTGGTTTTCGCACTCTAACTTTAGTTTAAGTGAATGGATCTCTATGAAATTTTATCACAAGGTTCAATACCACAAAAGGAAGGTTGGGATTGATTTTGGGGGTTATGGTACCAACAGTAAAGGAATTAGGGGCCAAAAAGGGGCCAAAAATGAGCATTTTTGTAATTTCCAGACATAACTTGTGTGTTAGTGTATGGATCTCTCTGACATTGTACCACAAGGTTCCATATCACACAAGGAATGCTGGGATTGATATTGGGGGTAATTGCCTCAAAATTTTAGAAATTAGGGGCCAAAAAAGGGGCAAAAAACAAGCATTTTTCTAGTTTCATGACAATAACTTGTGTGTAAGTGTATGGATCTTTCTGAAATTGTACTACAAGATTCCATATCACAAAGGGAAAGCTGGAATTGAGTTTGGGGGTAATTGCCGAAACGTTTAGGAATTTGGGGCCACAAAGGGGCCAAAAATAAGCATTTTTCTAGTTTCCAGACAATAACTTGTGTTCAAGTGTATGGATCTCTCTGAAATTGTACTGCAAGGTACCATACCACAAAGGGAAGGCTTGGATTGATGATGGGGGTAATTGCCTCAATATTTTAGGAATTAGGGGCCAAAAAAACATTTTTCTAGTTTCCAGACAATAACTTGTGTTGACAAGTGTATGGATCTCTCTGAAATTGTACTGCAAGGTACCATACCACAAAGGGAAGGCTGGGATTGAGTTTGGGGGTGATGAATCATAAGGGGGTTCAAAAAATTTGGGGGGGGGGATTTTTTTTTTTTTCCTTTTTTTTCTTTTTTTCCTATTTTTTTTCTTTATAAAATTTTTCATTTTAAGTTGGTTATTTCTGATTTATATTTAAAAGCAAATAATAATGATATGGTAGGAGATACACACCAAACAGGATGTGTAAATTATTATATAATAAGTATTGTGCAATAGCAAGAAATTTTCAATTGCACAGTATTGCACAATAGCAATTGCACAGTATTGCACAATAGCAAGAAATATCCAATAGCACAATATTGCGCAATAGCAAGAAATTGTCAATAGTACAGTATTGCGCAATAGCAAGAAATATTTAATTGCACAGTATTGTGCAAAAGAAGATACTTCGTATAAATTGCTTATTTCTTGACCAATTTCAATGGGGTTTTATTCTTGAATTCTTGGGGTTCTTTAATATGCTGAATCTAACCGTGTATTTAGTTTTTGGATTTTGGGCCCCTTTTTAAATTGGTCCACATTGAGGTCCAAAGGGTCCAAAATTAAACTTTGTTTGATTTCATCAAAAATTGAATTATTGGGGTTCTTTGATATGCCGAATCTAACCATGTATTTAGATTCTTAATTTTTGGTTCCGTTTTCAAATTGGTCTACATTAAGGTCCAAAGGGTCCAAAATTAAACTTAGTTTGATTTTAACAAAAATTGAATTCTTAGGGTTCTTTGATATATGCTGAATCTAAACATGTATTTAGATTTTGGATTATGGGCCCAGTTTTCAAGTTGGTCCAAATCGGGGTCCAAAATTAAACTTTGTTTGATTTCAACAAAAATTGAATATATGGGGTTCTTTGATATGCTGAATCTAACCATGTTTTTGATTTTTGGGCCCCGTTATCAACTTTGTCCACATTGAGGTCAAAAGGGTCCAAAATTAAACTTTGTTTGATTTCATCAAAAATTGAATTCTTGGGGTTCTTTGATATGCTGAATCTAACCATGTATTTAGATTCTTAATTTTTGGTTCCGTTTTCAAATTGGTCTACATTAAGGTCCAAAGGGTCCAAAATTAAACTTAGTTTGATTTTAACAAAAATTGAATTCTTAGGGTTCTTTGATATGCTGAATCTAAACATGTATTTAGATTTTGGATTATGGGCCCAGTTTTCAAGTTGGTCCAAATCGGGGTCCAAAATTAAACTTTGTTTGATTTCAACAAAAATTGAATATATGGGGTTCTTTGATATGCTGAATCTAACCATGTATTTAGATTTTTGATTTTTGGGCCCCGTTATCAACTTTGTCCACATTGAGGTCAAAAGGGTCCAAAATTAAACTTTGTTTGATTTCATCAAAAATTGAATTCTTGGGGTTCTTTGATATGCTGAATCTAACCATGTATTTAGATTTTGGATATTGGACCATAATAGGTGAATGTCCAATTTAATAAAAATTTTAAGTTCTTAGACCACATTCATTCTGTGTCAGAAACCTATGCTGTGTCAAATATTTAATCACAATCCAAATGCAAAGCTGTATCAAGCTTGAATGTTGTGTCCATACTTGCCCCAACTGTTCAGGGTTCGACCTCTGCGGTCGTATCAAGCTGCGCCCTGCGGAGCATTTTATTGATCAATGCTTTGAGCAGAACTTTATATTTATCATGAAACTTTGGTGACTGGTTTATATCTATTAAGATAACCTCCCTTTAGTTTTTCATGAATTTCTGATATGACATTGAGAAGTTATTGAAATTTATTCTTTGAAAAAGCGAAGGGCGTATCATGCGCTCATGGCGCAGCTGTTTATTAAAAGAGTTATGTCCTTGAAAATATTGATTATATGGAAAATTGCAATGTTATCGCTCTCATGTGTTCAATTCTTTCCAGAATTTTATGTAACTTATATAGTAGGTTTATATCAGCAATGTCTTTGACACTTTCTAAAATAAGTTTTGATCAAATATTTTTAGCAAGTTATGCCCCTTGAAATGTAATGGAAATCACATTGCATTTGCTCCGAAGCTTTCATTTCTCTTAAAGTATTAATAAAAAGTTTTAAAGATAAAAAGAATAGTGCTTTGGATAAATAAAATATGTGCAAAGGGGGGGGGGGGGGCATTGAAACTCTGTTCTTTTATTAGTTCCCTACCTACCAAGTCGAAGGGGACTTTAGGTTTGTACTCCATCCGTCTGTCTGTCCATATGTCAGTCTGGCAAATCAGTTTTCCACACTTTTTTCTTTGTGCTTGAAGATATTGATTTGATATTTGGTATAGACAAATGATAGAGTTTTATTATGACAAATTACAGATCAAGATCGAATTTTGTTCCAGTCTGGCGATTTTGTGCAGAGTTATGGTCCTTGAACTTAGAAAATTCACTCAAATAATCAGTTTTCCGCACTTTTTTTTTGTCATGCTTGAGGATATTGATTTTATGATTGGTATATAGTTTTATCATGACAAGTTACAGATCAAGTTTGAATGTTGTTTCGGTCTGATGATTTTGTGCAGAGTTATGGTTTTTGGACTTAGAAAATTCACTCAAATAAACAATTTTCCATTCTTTTTTTTGTCATGCTTGAAGATATTGACTTGATATTTGTTATATAGTTTACACCATGACAAGTTAGATCAAGTAAGCATTTTGTTCCAGGACAATGAATTTTAACCGGAAGGGGACTATGTATTGCCATGCAATACTCACAGAATGTTTGTTAAATTTTTTAATTATCTCATATTAAAAACAACTCATACCAAGATGAGGAACACATTGCTATCAATCTTAATTTGTTTATAATTGTTAGCATGGTTAGTATCATTGTCATGATTGTCATCCTCTAAATTTACTAATTTTAAATTTCTAAATGACCGATCAAAATTTATATGGTCGATGTCAAATGAAGATCTAATGGTTAATAACATATCTATAAAATTTATAGATAGTTTAATAAAGACAAGAAGAGCAAAATTAAGTAATAAGACATGAGTAGCCCTGGCTCTTCTTTCAATAATACAACGGTACTGATTGTGTTCACTCAATCATTATCTTTGGGAATACATTGTGTTTGTTGTCTCCCTTTCACTGTATAGTGTTAGTCTTAGTTTTATTATTTGAAAAAAGTTCAATAAAAAAAATCACCACAATTATTTGTACACTTTAATTTAAACTGTAATTGTTCTGCTCCTCGGGTCGTCTTGATTGACAAATAAAAATGGTTGTTGTTGTTGATTGTTGAGATCTCTTTAATCATTGTTAATCAATTAAGTCAGTTTTAACTATTGAAACTTAAATCATGTATCAATTTATGTATTTACATACAAATAACATAAATAAAAGTATACAACAAATCAACATTCAACAAAAACAAAAATTTTATTAAAACATTTTATAACTAGTTTCCAATGAAAAAATTCAAACCAGTCATTAATCATTGTTAATTTTGAAATATAAGCAAAATTAAACACCATGTCAAATGATTCAGGCACTTTATATCAAGTATTGGAAAAAGGAGATGAGGGGTATACATCATTTAGACAGTAACCCAACTACAAATTTATCTAAAAGGAATCTATAGGGGGACATTGGTTGAGTCTTGATTAATATTCTAATGTTTATTTATACACTAAACTTCATGTAACTAATTAACTGTCGATGACTGTGATTGACTTAAGCAATGTTGAGAGTACTCATGGTACTATATGGCGGAGAAACTTCTCAACTCCAAAATTATTATACATTGTTACATTTTGTTTTTCTTTATTTAGGTGAACATACATGTACCAGGGTACAGCACTAAATATTGTAAAAAAATGATGAAAGTAAAATCTGAACCTGTAGAAGTTGATGAGAACGTGTCAGAAAACCAGCAGGAAGATATTTATACACCTTGCACTAGTTTTAATTCAAAGACAATAAAAGCTGAGCTTATTATCGAAAGTGAAGAGGAAAATACAACCAAACTGCAGTACCAACAGTCAGAGTCAAACAACAAAAACAACACTTTTGACCAAGGTATGAAAAAATAAATATATAAAGAATTTCTTTGAAATAAAACTTTTAAAGAAATGGAGATGTTGAAACATTGTGAGTGACACTGCAACCTAACGACACAAAAAGGTCCTGAAAGATATTCTAGACAACACCTTTCAATATTCAAAATAGACGACTCTCTAAGTCACAGTCAATACAAAATGTAAAGGTCTCAAGCAACAACATGAACAAAGTCCAAAGAAATTGTAAATATAGTTACTCTGTCACGAAATGGAAGTTCCTTCATGATATAAGTTCCAAGTGGAAGAAATATTCTGTAATAATATTTCCATTGGAACAAGTATTACAGTATTCAAATGTTCCTAACGGAATAAAGGATATGGAATATTGTTGGAACAGATCTTATGACATTGTTTCTATCAAAGTTTTCAGGAGAACTTCTGTTAGGCTAAACAAATATACGTTGACAACTCAACATGCTCATAGAAAGTTAAGCAACACAACTTAGAATAAAGTAACACAAAATCTCCATTTATCTTTCAAGTTTGTGTTTTCTTAATCTTGAATCATTTGTGTGTTCAAAAGCGCTAGCTTTGTTGGTAAAATTTCAGACAGCTAGATTGTTCGCAAACTTTGACATGTTTTAGGGGATGGTGTCAAATTGAAAGTAACAGTATTTTGCACATGGTGCAGTTAAAAAATGCATACAATGCACAGCATTTATGAAGTGGTGAATCAATATCAGATGGCTTAATTGTTTACATATGCATATATATATATTTTATGAGCTTTTATCAGAAACTATAAAAATCTGCCCTCAACACCAAATTTCCCAAAATGACAAAAAATATTATTTATATAATAAAACCACAAACTAAAATTGTTTTCTTACAGTACAGATACAACTTCAACAATTTTGATATCCATGTATTTTCTAATAAATACTCAAATGATGTTGACAGTTTAGGAAAAAGAGTGCTCTAATTTGAGAAAGAGATTTTAAACTTTTCTTTTAGAAATGGATAACATGGATAATACATTTGTATATTGTAATACTGGTAATGTACATGTGTGTCCATTGTAATAAGAATATTCATGTACAAGCATGTATATGGCAAGACCCATCATCTTTTGTGAGGGGAGACATTTTTATGCCCCCACCCTAGCGAAGGGGACATTAAGTTTTACCATTGTCTGTCTGTACATCCGTCCGTCCTTCCATACGTACATCTGTACTTCCAGAGATTGGTTTCCGTTCTCTTACTTTAGTTTGTCTCAACCAAATGTTACAAAACTTATACATAATGTTTATTACCACAAAACACAGATGAAGTCTGAATTATGGTTGCGTCACTTATACTGTTTTAGAGTTATGCCCCTTTACAAATGGAAAAATTGCTGAATTTTACGTTTCCGTTCTCTTATTTAAGTTTGCATCAACCAAATGTTATGAAACTTGTACACAAAACACAGATCAAGTACGAATTTGGGTAGCGTCACTTTTACCGTTCTTGAGATATGTCTCTTTATAACATTGTATACAAGTGAGGGCATCATCACCAGTGTCCCATGGACACATTTCCCATTTATTTTATATGGATGAACAATTTTTCAATCAAAATAAATTTTCATTGTTTTTAAACAATATTCTTAAACAATGATAGGGGTGCACATGTGTAATCTTTCTACAGATGTTTGTCAGGATAACAAAATTAAAAATGCTTTCTACCTGAGCCTTTAAGTACCTTCAGTTAGTGACTCCCAAAAGACAGACTTGTAGTTTTCAATACTAAAGGTGTGTATTTTGTTATGTAAGATAAAAGCAAATATACCAACATACTTAACCAATAGAAATTAATAATGAACAAGTGGGAAATGTGACATTTAAAGGTTATCTGATGAACCAATGTTCTTCATCTTATTTTTTGCATTTTATGTTAGGCCAAACAAAGATGGATGTGTGTTAACTTTAGGGTTTCATTTTGAATTAATAATAAATCCTAAGAAAAGGTTGTTAGGTAGGAAATTAGTTTTGTTTATTTTTGTTTATCTTTATTAATAGTACAGTGAATAAAAAATAAACGAATAAATATTTCGTTTCCGTTCTCTAACTTAAGGGAGCTACCATTTGATTTTTATGGGGGGCTAGGATGAAATTTGAAAAAAATAGGCAGGACAGGAGTTTTGGGGGGAAAAAAAAGGCAGGATGAGATTATTTGCAAAAAAAAAGGCAGGATGACAATTTATGTAAAAAAAAAGTCAGGATAAACTAAAAAAAAAAAAGGCAGGACCAAATAGAGTGAAAAATAAAAAGGCAGGACCGAATAGAGGGAAAAATAAATAGGCAGGACAACATTTTTCATCCTAGCCCCCCCATAAAAATCAAATGGTAGCTCCCTAAGTTTGCCTCAACCAAATTTTATCAAACTTATACACAATGATTATTACCACAAAACACAGATTAAGTATGAATTTGGGTAGCGTCACTTTTACTGTTCTGGAGTTATGTCCCTTGATAGCTTTATATATAAGCAGGGGCATCATCTTCCCCCATTTATTTTAATGCCCCCACCGTAGCGGAGGGGTCATTAAGTTGTACCCTTGTCTGTCTGTACATCAGTACGTCCGTACTTCCCAAAATTTGTTTCCATTCTCTTACTTTAGTTTGCCTGAACTAAATGTTATGAAACTTATACATAATGCTTATTACAACAAAACACAGATCAAGTTTAAATTTTGGTGGCGCCACTTTTACCGTTATAGAGTTATGCCCCTTTACAAATTATAGAAAATTGCTGGATTTTTCGTTTCCGTTCTCTAACTTTAGTTTGCCGCAACCAGATGTTATGAAACTTGTACATAATGCTTATTACCACAAAAAACAGACCAAGTTTGAATTTTGGTGGCGTCATCTTTACCATTCTACAGTTATGTCCCTTATAAATGGAAAAATGCCGAATTTTTCATTTCCGTTCTCTAACTTAATTTTTGCCTAAACCAAGTGTTATGAAACTTATACACAATGCTTATTACCACAAAACTCAGATCAAGTACACATTTGGGAAGCGTTACTTGTACCGTTCTTGAGTTATGTCCCTTTATAACGTTGTATGCAAATGGGTGCATCATCTGTGTCCCATGGACACATTCTCCATTTATTTGCTATGCATGACAGCAGTCACCACACCAGGCGAAGTGATAGTCGTCCTAGGGTTCCCGACTTCTCTCTATAGAAGCTCGAGGGAGAAATTGATGTCGCTCTCGATTTTCAATAAACAATTTCCCAATGTCGCCTCGTGATTTTTGAAAAATTCTTGATACAAACGCAAACGATCCAATATTTGATGAAATAAACATGTTATCCCCGAATTCGGAATTGAATTGTCTGCGGTCTTTTACATTTTGCACTGCATGTTCTTATTTTTTGTCATCAATGGATACCTTATGTCCTTTCTTTTCTATTATGTAAACATTATGTCTTTATGCCCCCGCCGTAGCGGAGGGGGGCATTAAGTTTTACCCTTGTCTGTCTATAAGTCCCAAAGTTGGTTTCCGTTCTCTTACTTTAGTTTGCCTCAACCAAATGTTATGAAACTTATACACAATGCACAGATCGAGATTGAAATTTGGTGGCGTCACTATAACCTTTCTAGAGTTATGCCCCTTTACAAATGGAAAACTTGCTGAATTTTTCGTTTCCATTTTCTAACTTTAGTTTGCCTCAACCAAATGTTATGAAACTTATACACAATGCTAATTACCACAAAATACAGATCAAGTACAAATTTGGGTAGTGTCACTTTTACTGTTCTTTGAATTCAGTTATGTCCCTTTATAACTTTATATGATATGCACGATGGGGGGGGGGGGGGGGGGCATCATCTGTGTCCCATGGACACATTCCCCATTTTTTTTATTATGTACCAGTACATGTAGTTGATTTGATTAATGAATTGATTTTGTATGCGACTCTTCCCCTCCATTTCCATCTTTTTTGTTTTTGTTAAGTAAGCGTATTTTATCATTACAGATTTAGCTAGTGACGATAAAGTGAAGACTGGTAACCAAGGTGATGAGAATACTGCTGATCTACACAAACATCAACACACACAAACAAATATGGTTACTTTGACAACTAGGACACAAGGTAAAATGATCATTGTTGGCTATACACAAACAGACTCTGAAAATAGTAGTTGTTCATACAGGGACAAAATTCAGCATCCGACTACATGTCAGTCCTGTGGCCTGGACTCTGCACAGAATATGGATATAACTGTCAAAGCTGAGGTTGGGTCGACCACATGCCAGTCCTGCGGTAGATTGAATAATTGTACTTCACTAACACAAAATAAAATTGAAGAAGATTTAAAGGCAAAGTTTATCTGTTCTGATTGTGGAAAATTCTCTGTCAAATTTATGCGGCCATTTTCTTTGGTGAACAGTTCTCTTTTTAAAATGAAAAATTGCTGGATTTTTCGTTTCCGTTCTCTAACTTAAGTTTGCCGCGACCAAATGTAATAAAACTTGTACATACTGCTTATAACCACGAAAAACAGACCAAGTTTGAATTTTGGTGGCGTCATCTTTATCATACTAGAGTAATGTCCCTTATAAATGGAAAAATTGCTGAGTTTTTCATTTCCGTTCTGTAACTTTAGTTTGCCTCAACCAAATGTTATGAAACGTATACACAATGCTTATTACCACAAAACTCAGATCAAGTACGCATTTGGGTAGCGTCACTTGTACCGTTCTTGAGTTATGTCCCTTTATAACTTTGTATGCAAACGGGGGCATCATCTGTGTCCCATGGACACATTCTCCATTTATTTGCTATGCATGACAGGAGTCACCACACCAGGCGAAGTGATAGTCGTCCTAGGGTTCCCAACTTCTCTCTATAGAAGCTCGAGGGAGAAATTGATGTCGCCTTGTGTTTTTTGAAAAATTCTTGATACAAACGCAAACGATCCAATATTTGACGAAATAAACATGTTATCCCCGAATTCGGAATTGAATTGTCTGCGGTCTTTTACATTATGCACTGCATGTTCTTATTTTTTGTCATCAATGGATACCGTATGTCCTTTCTTTTCTATTATGTAAACATTATGTTTTTATGCCCCCTCTGTAGCGGAGGGGGCATTAAGTTTTACCCTTGTCTGTCTATAAGTCCCAAAGTTGGTTTCCGTTCTCTAACTTTAGTTTGCCTCAACCAAATGTTATGAAACTTATACACAATGCTAATTACCACAAAATACAGATCAAGTACAAATTTGGGTAGCGTCACTTTTACTGTTCTTCAGTTATGTCCCTTTATAACTTTATATGATATGCAAGGGGGGCATCATCTGTGTCCCATGGACACATTCCTCATTTATTTTTTTATTATGTACCAGTACATGAAGTTGATTTGATTAATGAATTGATTTTGTATTCGACTCTTCCCCTCCATTTCCATCTTTTTTGTTTTTGTTAAGTAAGCGTATTTTATCATTACAGATTTAGCTAGTGACGATAAAGTGAAGACTGGTAACCAAGGTGATGAGAATACTGCTGATCTACACAAACATCAACACACACAAACAAATATGGTTACTTTGACAACTAGGACAGAAGGTAAAATGATCATTGTTGGCTATACACAAACAGACTCTGAAAATAGTAGTTGTTCATACAAGGACAAAATTCAGCATCCGACTACATGTCAGTCCTGTGGCCTGGACTCTGCACAGAATATGGATATAACTGTCAAAACTGAGATTGGGTCGACCACATGCCAGTCCTGCGGTAGATTGAATAATTGTACTTCACTAACACAAAATAAAATTGAAGAAGATTTAAAGGCAAAGTTTATCTGTTCTGATTGTGGAAAGGTATATTCGAGAAGATATTCTCTTGTCAGACATTTACTGTCTCATTCAGGAGATAAAGCCTCAGTGTGTGGAGTATGTGGTCGAGGATATTCTTCATTTGTAAATTTTGAAGCTCATCTTAAAACTCATATGGCTGAAATCAACGTTTCTGATTTCACAAAAGAAAAAAATAGTTTAGTAAACTACGATGATCAAGCTAGTTCAATATTAAGGCAAAGAGGAACTCACAAAGGCAAAAAAACATTCCAATGTGAAATCTGCAATAAAACATTTGCTCAAGGTAGAGACTTCAAGCGACACAATATAATTCATGCAGGTGATAGGCCACATGGATGTGAAACATGTGGTAAGACTTTTGTAATGAGTTCAGACCTAAAAAGTCATCAGCGAACCCATTCAGGGGATAAACCTCATGCATGTGAAATATGCAAGAAACGATTTGCCCGGCGTGACGTGTTGAAAATTCACACGATGATGCACAGCGGGGAAAGACCACATGAATGCCAAGTTTGTGGTAAAAGATTTATAAAGAAAGCATCCTTAAAGTTGCACACTCAGACACACTCGGGTGTTAAACAGCACGAATGTAAAATCTGTGGTAAATTTTTTGGTCGGAGCACAGATTTGAAATACCACATGCGAACACATACAGGAGAAAAACCATATCAGTGTCAAATATGTGGTCTACAATTTGCCATGGGAGTTTATTTAAAAACTCACGCTTTGAAACATAGTGGTGAAATACCCTATGAATGTCGGATATGCGATAAGAAGTTTGTTAAGAAAATATCGCTAGAAACCCATAACCTAACACATACCGGTGAAGAACCTCATGAATGTCAAACATGCGGAAAGCGGTTCCCAAGTCAATCTTCCTTAAAGAAGCACAGTTTGATACACCTGGACGACAAACCACACCAATGTGAATGGTGTGGTAAATCATTTGCTCAGGCCGGCACTTTGAAATCACATATTATTGAAACTCATATGGGTTTGAAACCTTTTGCTTGTCATTTATGTGGTAAAACATTTGCAAGACGAACAACTTTGAAAACACATGGTCTAACGCATTTCGATATAAAATCACACGAATGTCAATTGTGTGGAAAAGGATTTTCTAGGAGGTCAGATTTAAGGAGGCACGAAAAAACACATATTTCTGGAAAACGGAATAAACTGACTGACAGTGAACTCATACATGATGAGGACATAACCAAGGACTAGATACGATAAGGTAACCCTGTATCTGCATGCTACTCTCCAGACAGGGTTATAGTTCTCTCAATAGACCACTTTCGAGTTATGTCATTAACTGGATAAGTTCGTCAATTATGTGTGCCTTTACAACGTCATTTACCAGATAGAGAGGACAGCCTGTATCCCTGCACTATTAAAGTTCATCAAGCGTCTTCGTGATCGTCATTATGCAGGATAAACTAGAAATAATGCTTGTTCCGTAGGTATTTAATCACAGTTCCTTAATGACAGCAGTGCTGATGATCAATTATATGAATTTAATTTGCCAAATAATTTGTACAATACACATTTTTTCAACCGCGCGCTCAACATGGGAAGGGAGTGACGATTTTCCTAAATGCATGAATGATGTTCACTTAAACCGAAAATTTTGACAGAAATGCAACGAACTCGAAAGTGGTCTATTGAGCAAACATGAATTTGTTATTTCAGGAAAATAATGTAGTTTCATCCCATGAAACATGTGAAATGAAAAACAATAAAGAATAAATGTATTATACTTTCTCCTCAAGAGAACTTATTTTATGTAACTCGATTCAATTATTATACACTTCTCTCTTAAGAGGCTAATATTGTACTATAATATTCAAAATATACATTTTACATCTTAATTTGATTTACACTTAAATCTTACATTTTTTCAGTTTTGATGTTTTCTTTCACAAAAGTTCATATAAACATGATTAAAATAGTTATTGCAGTAACATGTAAAATACAAAATTATTATGTTTAACTTTAAAGGGGCATTAACTTCGAGATAAAAAAAATAAGATTTTGCTTTTGGTTCAATTAATAATAAAGTGTAATAGTGAAATAATTATTCGCTTTTAGCACCCAATTTTGTCAAAATAAGCTAAGAAACTGCGCTGTGATTATTCACTTGTAAGTGCATAATTCTACCTCATTGAATCGATATTCAATTTAACCCCTTAGCTGGAAATGGGTTAGTATGTATTCAGCTATTAAAAGGAAAAGAATGTCAACATTGAGAGTGAAACAAGGCTGAACCATTTGGATGACTGATTTTATCCACACAAAATCATTCTTATACTGGTAAAAACGATGATTAACATACCTTTTAACCTACAATATGAAATCAAAAAGACCTAGAAAAATCCAAATGCAGGTGTTCGCTATCTATTTATGCTTATATTCCTGTTTATATCGGGTTATATGACTGGCGGCAGTCTTCGGAGGTCATCTCGATGGTTAATTAGATGGCGTCTAGACAAAAATACATAAATTATATTTATTTTAGACTTTTTGTAATTTGGATATACATTTTAATACATGTATGTAGTATGTTACTAAATCAAATATGAGAATTTGAATCAAATAGGTGAACATCAATTTAACAGCTAATGCCCCATTTATTGTATCACTAATAAAGCCTTTAAGGATTTACATGATTTAACACATCAAGTGTGAAAAACAAAAATGCATTGTCTTTTGGGTGAAAGCTAAAAGCTAAAAAAACAGGTTGTATTTGATTTTACAGGTGTTGGAGGTACATTTAATGTTACAATGTCGATACGCCTTTCCTCAATGTCTAAAAAGGATATCCGGATTATAGTATGGTGTCCTGATTAAAGCTTGGTTCGATAAACTACACTAAATACCACATAATACAGGTCATATTTGATTTTTATACGACCGCAAAAAAATTTTGTGGTCGTATATTGGTATGACGTTGGCGTCGTCGTCGTCGTCGTCGTCCGAATACATATTGGTTTTCGCACTCTAACTTTAGTTTAAGTGAATGGATCTTTTTGAAATTTGACCATAAGGTTAAATACCACAAAAGGAAGGTTGGGATTGATTTTGGGGGTTATGGTACCAACAGTTAAGGAATTAGGGGCCAAAAAGGGGCCAAAAATGAGCATTTTCTAGTTTCCAGACAATAACTGTGGAACGGTGTATGGATCTCTCTGAAATTATACTACAAGTTTCCATACCACAAAGGGATGGTTAGGATTTGCTTTGGGGGGTTATGGCTCAAACCGTTTAGGAATTAGGGGCAAAAAAGGGGGAAAAACAAGGTTGTCCTGGTTAATGGACAAATACTTTAGTACAAAACATAATTTAAAGCAGTGTAAGGGAGATAAATCAAATACATCATTGAAATTATCTCCCTTACACTGCTTTTAAATTATGTATAAAGTAATGGTTAATGAACAATAAAGATAATCTAAAACAGTGTAAGGGAGGTAGTCCAAATACAACGTTTTGGTTACTTCCCTTACACTGCTTTTAAATTATGTTTAAAGAAATGCATATTTATAAAGGAAGACCAGTAAAAATATCTGCAAATGTTTTCATCTTTTTTTTTTACAAAAAAATCCATATGAAAGATTTGACACTATATTTTTATTAATTCTATTATAAAATAGATTAAGTTAGCACTATGGTAAATTTAAATGGGTAATTATGGTTGCCAACTCCATTGGAAATTTGAATTGAGATTATGACCATATCTTGAGGGAAAGAATTTTTTTGGGGGAAAAAGGGTGGGGTGGGGGGGGGGGATAAAAAGAAATTGTGAAGGGCCAATTTTTTCTCATTTCAGAAATTAAAAAGAATTATTCTTCAAATATTATTTTTTTTTCAAATTTCAAATATTGAAAAATTTCAAGAAGTAATCTTTAATTGCACAGTATGGCGCATTAGATTTGTAAAATTTTTGATCACATTTATTTATTTGTTATGCCGAATCTAACAGTGTATTTAGATTTTTAATTTTGGGTCCAGTTTTCAAATTGGTCTACATTAATGTCCAAAGGGTCCAAAATTAAACTTTGTTTGATTTTAGCAAAAATTGAATATATGAGGTTCTTTGATATGCTGAATCTAAACATGTATTTAGATTTTTGATTTTTGGCCCAGTTTTCAAGTTTGTCCAAATTGGGGTCCAAAATTAAACTTTGTTTGATTTCAACAAAAATTGAATATATGGGGTTCTTTGATATGCTGAATCTAACCATGTATTTAGATTTTTTATTTGTGGACCCCTTTATCTAATTGGTTCATATTGAGGTCAAAAGGGTCCAAAATTAAACTTTGTTTGATTTCATCTAAAATTGAATTATTGGGGTTCTTTGATATTCCAAATCTAACCGTGTATTAAGGTTTTTAATTTTGGGTCCTGTTTTTTTAAATTGGTCTACATTGAGGTCCAAAGGGTCCAAATTAAACTTAGTTTGATTTTAACAAAAATTGAATTCTTGGGGTTCTTTGATTTGCTGAATCTAAACATGTGTTTAGATTTTTGATTATGGGCCCAGTTTTCAAGTTGGTCCAAGATAGGGTCCAGTATTTAAACTTTGTTTGATTTCAACAAAAATTGAATATATGGGGTTCTTTGATATGCTGAATCTAAACATGTATTTAGATTTTTGATTATGGGCCCAGTTTTCAAGTTGGTCCAAATTTGGGTCCAAAATTAAACTTTGTTTGATTTCAACAAAAATTGAATATATGAGGTTCTTTGATATGCTGAATCTAACCATGTATTTAGATTTTTTATTTGTAGGCCCCGCTATCAAATTGGTTCATATTGAGGTCAAAAGGGTCCAAAATTAAACTTTGTTTGATTTCATCGAAAATTGAATTATTGGGGTTCTTTGATATGCCAAATCTAACCGTGTTTTTATATTTTTAATTTGGGTCCCGTTTTTTAAATTGGTCTTCATTGAGGTCCAAAGGGTCCAAAATTAAACTTAGTTTGATTTTAACAAAAATTGAATTCTTGGGGTTCTTTGATATGCTGAATCTAAACATGTGTTTAGATTTTTGATTATGGGCCCAGTTTTCAAGTTGGTCCAAGTTGGGGTCCAAAATTATACTTTTTTTGATTTCAACAAAAATTGAATATATGGGGTTCTTTGATATGCTGAATCTAACCATGAACTTAGATTTTTTATTTGTGGGCCCCGCTATCAAATTGGTTCATATTGAGGTCAAAAGGGTCCAAAATTAAACTTTGTTTGATTTCATCAAAAATTGAATTATTGGGGTTTTTTGATATTCCAAATCTAACCGTGTATTTAGATTTTTAATTTTAAGTCCCGTTTTTTAAATTGGTCTACATTAAGGTCCAAAGGGTCCAAAATTAAACTTAGTTTGATTTTAGCAAAAATTGAATTCTTGGGGTTCTTTGATATGCTGAATCTAAACATGTGTTTAAATTTTTGATTATGGGCCCAGTTTTCAAGTTTGTCCAAGTTGGGGTCCAAAATTAAACTTTGTTTGATTTTAACAAAAATTGAATATATGGGGTTCTTTGATATGCTGAATCTAACCATGTATTTTGATTTTGGACATTGGACCATAATAGGTAAATTAAAAAAATTCAAGTTCTTAGACCACATTCTTTCTGTGTCAGAAACCTATGCTTTGTCAAATATTTAATAACAATCCAAATTCAGAGCTGTATCAAGCTTGAATGTTGTGTCCATACTTGCCCCAACTGTTCAGGGTTCGACCTCTGCGGTCGTAGCAAGCTGCGCCCCAGCGAAGCATTTTATTACTTTTGTCACAGTTACCATTCTGTAGTTGTATTGTCATTGAATTAAAAAAACAAAATTGGATAATATTCTAATCATAAAAATAAAGAGATGTGGTATGATGTCAATGAGACAACTATCCAAGAGAGATTAATGTTGATAAAAGCAATTATAGACAATCGTACGACCTTCAACAATGAGTCAAACTAATACCGTATAGCGCGACACTTCTTTCTGATTTTTCTACCTATATACTTTAAAAATACATGTATATAACACAAGGTAACTAACACTAACTTTGCGGTTGTGTATTGGTATCATGTAGTTGTCGTCCGAAGACATTTGGTTTTCGCACAATAACTTTAGTATAAGTAAATAGAAATCTATGAAATTTAAACACAAGGTTTATGACCACAAATGGAAGGTTGTGATTGATTTTGGGGGTTATGGTTCCAACAGATTAGGAATTAAGGTCCAAAAAGGGGTCCAAATAAGTATTTTTCTTGTGGACTGGTGTATGGATCTCTCTGCAATTATACAACAAGTTTCCATACCACAAAGGGATGGTAAAAATTGGCTTTGGGGGGGTTATGGCTCAAACCGTTTCTGAATTAGGGGCAAAAAAGGGGGAAAACAAGGGTGTCCTGGTTAATGGACAATTACTTAAGTACAAAACATAATTTAAAAGCAGTGTAAGAGAAGTAATTCAAACACAACACTTTGAATTACCTCCCTTACACTGCTTTTAAATTTGGTTGCAAATTCCATTGGAAATTTGAAGAGATTATGACCATATCTTGAGGGAAATAATTTTTTTAAAAAGAGGGGGGGGGGGGTTAAAAAAATGGTGGGGGGATAATTTGTTCTTAAGATTTCAGAAACTAAAAAGAAAATTTCTTCAAATATTTTTTTTGCCAAACAAAGGGGGGTGGGGTAAATTTATTTTTTTTTTGGGGGGGGGGGGGATCAATTCGCAACAACATAGTGTATTGCACAAAAGCAAAAAAATGAATATAAATTCAAATCACATAACCAATTCAAGTTCTTTGACTACAGTTATTCTGTGTCAGAAACCTATTATGTGTCAAATATTTAATCACAATCCAAACTCAGACCTGTATCAAGTACGAATATTGT